CGAGGAATGAGAACACCAGGTTCAGGCTAAACTGGTGTCCTGTTCACATACTGTACATCCCGATAGTTAAGTTATATTTCAGTTACCAGAGGAGTCTGACTACTTTCAAAATTTTAGACCCATTTCAAAACTACCTTTTTATAGCAAAAATTTTAGAAAGAATTGTGTCCAAACAGCTGCTCTCTGTACTGGAAAATAACAAAATATTTGAAAAGTTTCTATCTGGTTTTAGGAAGTACCAGAGCACTGAGATTGCCCTGCTTAAAGTCACCAATGACCTTTTAATGTCTGCTGATGAAGGTATGTGCTCAGTCCTAGTACTCCTGGACCTTAGCGCTGCTTTTGACACCATTGATCACAACATCATGTTAGACAGACTGAGGTACTGGTACTGCCCTAGAATGGTTTTCATCCTACCTGTCAAATAGGAAGTTCTGTGTGTCTGTGAACCACCATGTCTCTTCATTCTGTCCAGTTAAATATGGTGTGCCTCAGGGGTCGGTCTTAGGACCCATTTTATTTTCTTTGTATCTGCTTCCCCTTGGACACATTATTCAGAGACATGGTGTTTCTTTTCATATTTACGCTGATGACACACAGATGTATTTGCCGGTCAGATCCATAGACCCTGGCATGCTGAGTTCTTACCGACTGCCTCTGTGAAGTCAAAACTTGGATGTCAAATAATTTCCTCCATCTCAACTCAGACAAAACTGAGATCCTAGTAATTGGGTCCCAGCAGATGGCAAAACAAATACTGCCATCTGCTAGTTCCCTAGTGAATCATGTTAAGCCTGTTGCAAAGAATCTTGGTGTCTGGTTTGATAGTTATTTAAATTTTGAGCAGCACACCACAAAGCTTGTGCAATCATCTTTTTACCAGCTTAGAAATCTATCTATCTAAAATACGATCTGTGTTAACTTTTAAGGACACCATTTTACACGCCTTCATCTCATCACGCTTGGATTACTGCAACAGCCTTTTCACTCGTTTAACCCAAAAATCTATTGATCGACTCCAGATTGTCCAGAACTCAGCTGCCAGGCTTTTAACCAGAACTAAGAAATATGACCACATTACCCCTGTTTTAGCTTCATTACACTGGCTCCCAGTATGTTTTAGAATTGACTTTAAAATTTTATTGATCACTTTTAAAGCTCTTCATGGCCTCTCACCTTGTTATATTTCTGACCTTTTAGTCCCATACATACCAGCACGTACCTTGAGGTCCTCGGGCAGAGGTCTGCTGTCTGTTCCAGAGTCTCGACTGAAAACTTAAGGGGACAGAGCGTTTGCTGTCAGGGCCCCGAGGCTCTGGAACAGCCTGCCTGAGGAAATCAGGTCGGCTGAGTCGGTGAACTCTTTTAAATCCCTTCTTAAAACATACTTTTATAGGAGAGCCTTTCCCGATTTATTTATAATTTTATTTTATTTATTTATTTTTTAATATATTTTATATTTATTTTAAACGTGTATTCTAGACAAGTGTTTTCTTGTTTTTAGCATGTAATTGTTTTTATGTGTTTTATTGTTTTTACACTTGTGAGAGCACTTTGTAACTGTTTTTTGAAAAGTGCTCTATAAATAAAGATTATTATTATTATTATTATTATTATTATTATTATTATTACTGGTTGTTAAAGGAAGGAAGCTAGTGAGCAGGAGGAGCTGAGGCTAGTAAAGTAAATCAGGGATGTGAACTAGTCCTTTTAAGCAATTGAGGAGACGTTTCTTTTGTATTTTAATGTGCAAATTAAATGCTTAGTAATTAACCAGAAATCACATAGAAAAAAAAGATGCATCAAGATGGATCACCGCCCTCTGAATTGTAATCAAACAGAATCGTGAGGTGCCAAGAGATTCCCACCCCTACTGCCCAAACAGTATTCCCATTCAGTTACTTTAAAATGTCCTTTGATACATTTTGTGAAGCGGTTGTCTCCAATTGTTAGGGCCTGTCCATAGGCTCGCCATTCATCTGTGACAACATCTGAGCCTCTTCTTAAATGTATGCATAAGTCATTATAGCGATGACCTTCATAGAAAGTGTTACCTTCATTTTTTTACTTGCAACTAAAAATTATTTTCATTATGCATTAATTGGCTGATTATTTTCTCAATTAATGAATTGAACGATTGTTTGGTTTTTAAAAAACATGAGAATAGTGAGAAATTCTTTCACAATTACCCAGAGCCCAACTGCACAACGCTTGTTTTCTCCAACCAACAGTACATAATTCCAAATTATTAAAAATAAATAATATGGATGTTATGTAATGACAATTCTTAACTTATAAAGTAACTGAAGCTGTAAAGCTGTAAATAATTGTAGTGGAGTAAAAAATACAGTAAGTAATAAGTTATCCTTAGTGTGAATTAGTCATAAACTCAATCTGTTTGGCATTACAATTTAAATGTTTTCATTTGCAAATTGGCCTCATGAAAACAATAGCGTTCCTCTGTCCACTTATGCTGCAAATTTATATTTTTCATTCCTACATAAGACAGAGCTAGTGTGATCAATCAGTGAAGCTTTCATATGATTAAAAATCATAACGATCAAACTTTTGTACAAATTATGAGGGCCATGCAAGCTATTCAAATGACGTGTTAACTTTCAACATAGGTATGTTTTCCATCAGAGAACTTAGTATTCATCTGAGTGTGTAAACCCACATAAATGGGTAAACAGGACCTATTTGAACTGGACCAAATTTGTAAAACACAGATGTACACAGGTGTGAAATAACGTAAATTAATGCTTCCACAAGTAGTTGTGGACTAAGGATCCAACATTTTGTTCCAGAAAACTGCTGTTCAGATTGTTGTGACATTTACTTGGATATTCATTGATCCACAATAGGTAATGTTTTTGATGATCCCCTAACCTTTATTCTAGTGCTACCATGAAAAATCAACTCATAATCTTAGAGTAGATTGACTGATGATATTTTCTGTCCACATACAGGCTCCCATCGGGAGAAAAATAATAAAAAATAATTTCTGGCACCACCCTCAGAACAAATCTTCAACCTCCTAACCCTGCTATTTTTAAGGATCTAATAATAGCAAAGTCATGTTTGGTTCTGTCCAGGACTTGGTGTTTTGTGACTTTTAAACAAGTAAAGGCTGCTTACACGGCTTCAGACTTTGAGTGCTATAGATTCAATTCTATTCTTTTCTGGTATGAATTTCGGCACATTTTCTCTGAGTGCCTTTAATTAAATGATATTATAAGTAAATACACTGATGGTGTGCATAGCATGTTTGTTCTGTATTTCAATCACCAAATCAGCTCATTGAATCATTTGGTTGGGTGTGTGTTTTTACAAGGATGAAGAAAAAAGTCTGAAGGTGGAGTGAAGGTGGAGTGAACTGTAGAAGGAATCTATTGAAGGAAGGAAGTTAAGTGCTTCACAACAACATGCAGCAAACAGGGTTAATCTAAAATATATATATATATACACTTTGACCCTCAGCAGCTTTTAAGCTGTGATCAAGCAGAGATGAGATGAACTGATGCACTTGTGAATTATAGCCTCTGACCTTTATGCCTTACACTTATAATCTGTTCATTTTTACAGCATGAAATTGAAGAGTATTATGTACTATGAAGTACTAAGATAAATTACAGCTCATGACATCTTTAAAAAAAAACAATATCTGATGAACAATCATTGGTGAATTTATTTAAGTGCACTCATGTTGGTCTACAGAGTTATGACACCACCTCCTGGTGAATGTCAGAAAATGTTGTGTTTGAGAGTAACAGACTTGTGTCTTACTCTGTGTTCAGTTAGATCTGCATGATTTGGATTCCCTGCTGTTTTCCAAACAGTAGAAGAATCCTGTTCTGAACCTGGTCTTGTATTCCCTGGCTTTTAACCCAGCATGAGAGCTGTGTGGTCTTCTGTTGTTTTTATATGTTCTATGTGTTTTATGTTTTATTTCTTGTGCAGCACTTTGTAAAACTTTGTTTTTTGTGCTATATAAATACAATGGATTGGATTGGATTGGTCTATAAATTAACACTGTGTAGGCACTAACATCAACAATTTCAATAGGATGTCGATATTGAATGCTATAGTTTCATGTTAGGTTATGAAAGCACCATTTTTTGTTCATACACTAACCTGAAAAGGTGTAAGCAGCAAAACTGCTTAATATAAGTTCAGTTATGTGCCAAAATAAGTGATTATATAAACACTTATATAATTATATAACACTTTGCATTGGATAATTTAATATGGAGAATAATTTTATATCAGTGACTTTGATACAATTATTGATTACCAAAATCATTCCAGAGAATAATTTGATGACCTTTTTGATAGATAAGCTGTAACTATGATTTAACTACAGTAACAAAACAAACAACTGGCGTTGAGTGAGGTAGAAGGTGGCCTAGTATTTGTACTATGTATAAAACAAATAGTCTCTCAGATTTAGTTCTTAAATGGAAATGCTGACAGCCTTTGCAGTGCTGATATTTGTTGCAATGATAAACGAGAACAGTGGAGGGAAAGAAACCTCACTATGTAAACAGGAGGAAAACAGCCACCCAATTGTTTTGCTTATGCTCTTGGATGTGAATGCTGTTACCCCCTTGATATTACATACCATTCCATTTAGAGCAATGGCGGCCCTGATGCAACTGCCAAAGCAAACCTGCACTTCCTATTGGGGATAGGAATGACTTAGAGAATTACATGGTAATATTGCAAAGTGGACTAATGCTGAAATCTCTGGATCTGAACAATAAACAATTAAGTGATAATTGTTAGAATTTAAATATTTCTATCATTGTCGTGTTGTTTACTTTGGCAAATCATTAAACCTAGTGTAAATAAAGATTGTTTTCAGATTTATTTAATATAAATAACATGTAATATGGAACACTAAAATGTTGTTTCATTTTATAATCCACCCTTAAAGGGAAATGGCTCTTAGACCTTAAGCTCTTTGTCTTTGTCTTGATGAAGGTATTATTGGTGGAACCCAGGACATTGTGAAACAGCAATAGGGATGGAGCCAGAAGCTGAAGACCTAGACACAAATGATAACTTGGTCCCTTGGTCTGGTTCAGATGGTTCCCAGGAACTTTGTGCCTCTGAGTCTTACTATGAAGATGATGCCAGTGATGCAGAGTACCCTTTAGACCCCCAACCTGCTCATATCCAGAAGTCTGACCTTGAGTCCCCAGAATGCCTCCAATCACAAGACTGGGAATCTGCAGGTGAGCAACAGTTCCTGCCTGAACTTAGTGGAAGTGAAGAGGATGTTTCATACCAAGAAGAGGATGACATCTACTATAGTGAATCAAGAGAGTCCATTCCAGAGTCTCCTCACATCCAGACCTCACCAACATCACTGTCTCCACACCCAGAGCATGCTGACTCTGAGCCTCACGCGGGCCAGATATCCCGGCCGCATTCCAGGTCCTCTTCCTCCTCTCTAGGCTGTGCTGCTGATATGACCCTGGCCTTGACCCTGACCACAGAACAGCCCCTGGGAGCCAATAATAGGCAGGACTCAGGGACTGGGAACAGGAGGATTGAATCCTCAGAGGAAGGAGGGAGTAGTGAAGCACCTCCTGCTTCTCTCTTCTTTGGAATTTCAAGCGAGGCTGCTGAGCAGGCAGAGAAGTGGAACTCAGAGTCTGACACAGATCTGTGCAGACCAGACAGCCACGAAGCAAGGTACACACGTAAGTATCTATCTTCTACCCTCACTTGTTATATTTCGGAGGACATATGAAGTGAGTGCAAACTGTACAGCATGCAGGAAATGTCTTTTTTCTAAATTTAAATTATGTATAATTTTTTAATAGATTAGATGCAATTTTGTATTTGCTTCAAATGCAGTCCGAGGCATGAATTAACTTTTGATAATAACCTTATATTAAACGTTCTGCCTGTAATTATTATAGGTGTTGTATGAAGCAAGAGACATAATTTAATCGATAAATAGCTTGTGCAAAGCACTATGGGTGCTGGTTATTTTCATGCTGTAATGTGAAGTCTATTTGAGGTGGACTTACAGGGAGAATTCCCATGGCTTTAACAGTCAGAGCAGGATAAGAATAAAATATGACCATATGATGAGGCAGGCAGAAACACATTTGACAGACACCAGCATGTGTCACCCTGGCCTGTCACCTGATCCCTTTTCCAATCGTAAGACTTGACTGCAATGGAAAGTGAACTCCTCACTTGCCTCACGGTCCCCCCAGAGTTAGATGTAAGTAAATATGATGCTTTTATTAGTGTGCTTGCGTCAGCAGGGGCAACTTCAAATTTTTTCTTACTCGTTATTATTGTGCTTGCTTTAAATAGTTATTGTAATTGTTGGTTTCATCTGCAAACTGATAAAATAACTGATCAAATAATACCAAAGGTATCAGATAAAACCCCCTAAATGTTTAGAAAATGTCTCATAGTAAGCCGACTTTACTGAGCATTGATCAGTTAAATGCCATAGCTTCTTAAATTTCCACTGACTGACAAAATATCAAAATAAAATGTTTGCTTACTGTTTAATTACAGATTTGTATTTTTTCATCTTCCTCACCTCCCTCCCTCCCTTCTCTCTGTCACTGTCCCTCTCTCTATCTGTTCTCTTCTTCGTCTCAGGACTTGTTCGCAACGAGAGCCAATCAGAAAAACAGGTCAAGGAGACCAAGTCTAAATGTAAGAGAATTGCTCGGCTTCTAACCGATGCACCCAACCCTCAAAATAAGGGAGCCTTGCTGTTTAAAAAACGACGCCAGAGGGTCGAGAAGTATACACTTGTAAGTTACGGGACTGGTGAGAATAAGTTTGACAGCGAAGACCAAATAGAAGAGGGATCTGAAGAAGTCCGATCCTCTGGGTACAACTTTGTTGCAACAAGTGAATCTGAGTTTGAGGAGGAGTACTCTGTTTATCACCAGCAGCAGAATTTAAATCTGAATTGGGGAAGTGTTCGAGAAATGGAAGCATTACCAGAAACAAAAGGGAAGGGTGTTATGATGTTTGCCCAACGCCGCAAACGGATGGATGAAATTGTGTCAGAGCATGAAGAAATGAGGAGTAAAGGATTACCTGTGGAGGCATTAACAGAACCTGAGTGTACAGAAAAACAGAATGTTTATGACACTGAGGACATGTACATACATACTGATCAGGCCAACTACATGGATGCAAATCTCAAGCAGCATGTAGAATACCAAGAAAATATTCAACAGATGAACAACCTATCCAATGTGCCAAAACCCTTGGTGCCAAACAGAACTGCAAAGCCTTTCCTAGGATTTCAAGTGAGCACAACTGCTCCTGTCATGCCTGGTGGCGTTGTTCCAGTGACAAAGAAGCATGAACCGAGATTCAGAGTACCTGTGCCTATTAACACTAACCCACAGGTTTGGTCCCCAACTGGAGACATCATAGCCTCAAGAGATGAGCGAATATCTGTGCCAGCAATCAAGACCGGCATCCTACCAGAGTCAAAACGGAAAACCACTAATAAACAGGCATCAGTGCTGGCACGAGGATCAGATCTTCACCCTCAAAACAAAGTGGAAAGGAGGTCTTATGTTGAGTCAGAGGAAGACTGTTTTAGTCTAGGTGCTGAAGCTTGTAACTTCATGCAACCCAGATCAATAAAACTCAAGAATCCCCCTCCAGTTGCCCCAAAACCTACCATCAACCCAACCTGTCCACCTTGGATGAGGAGGAGTCCCTCTGGTGAGCCCTGTATTCCACCAAGAAGTCCGGTATCACATCCTTCTCACAGTTCTGGAGGGCCTTATACTCAGAATTACTTACAGCAGCAAGATTGGGCTCAGCCTCAACAGATGGCCAACCATTGGGCACCAGATCAAAGTCAGGCAACACTTCAAACACCTGCCAGTGCTTGGGCTCCGGTCAACTCCTCTTCTCAGCTTCATCTTCAGCCAACCACAAATAGCTGGAGTCACCAGCTGCCACGATCCCCTGTGAGTATGCATGCCTGCAGTCCTACTTACAGCCCATATCACCCACCTTCACCCTCAAGAAATAAGTCAGACAGTGCTCCGCACTCAGTTGCCTCTTGCCCACCACAAGCAGGGAAATCATTCGTCCATGCATCAAAAGCAGCACAGGCTTCTCCAAAGGGTCGAGTCTCAGACAAAGGTATCAATCGAGCTGGTGATGGTCCAACTATGGCGGGAAAAGGAGCAGAGTTGTTTGCCAAAAGACAGTCCCGTATGGAGAAGTTTGTTGTTGACGCTGAAACAGTGCAAGCTAACAAAACAAGATCCCCCTCTCCAACCTCCTCCCTCCCTAACTACTGGAGGTATTCTTCCAATGTTCGTGCCCCACCCCCTTTATCATACAATCCCATTCTTGCTCCTTTCTACCCTCCATCAGCAGCCAAGCAACTCCCCTCCACAAGCCCCAAAATCAAGCCTAAAGCCAAAGAGAAACCTAAAACGCCCAAAAAGCACCTTAACACCTTAGATATTATGAAACATCAGCCTTATCAGTTGGACTCGTCACTGTTCAAGTATGATGCAGTCCCTGAGGCCAAAAGCCCCAGCCCCAAACCAACTCCAGCATCAAAGTTTGAGGTTATCAAAAGCCTTAAACATAGATCTGCCTCTTCTCATTCTCCTTATAATGCCCCTGAGCTTGCTGTTCAAAGCAAGGCAGAAGTCCCTACTAAGTCTCCTGTATCGGTAAGTTCCCAAAGTTCTTCTGCCGGCCAAAACACAAGATCAGCTGAGCCTCTTGCAAATAATAAGCGCTTGGATGAAAAGCACACTGTCACACCTGCAGCCCATCACATAACCAACAAGCAAGCACCAAGCGCCCGACCTGCAAGCACATCCTCCCAGCAGTCATCTATTGGTGACAGCATAGCTTCAGCTTTTTCTCCTGCATCTCTTATTGCTCGAGGCGCACGTCAAATGGCACCTCGGCCAAAGTTTTCTGCTAAGAAGCCAGTGGTGACAGGCATACACTGGAGGCCTGTTGCTATACTTCATTAGCTCTAATGCGGTATATGCTCATGTTTTGGTGTAGTCAACAACTAGAATACAATTACATCTGCAACTTGGTAGCATCAAAAATGTCCTGTTCAACAAAATGTATAGAATTTTGCACTGTCTCCATGTAGACCACACCCAAAATCATTTACAGTTATAAGGTTATATTTGGCTGAGAATGTAAGGGAAGCATGAGAAAGCAGTTGAATGTATAGCAAAGCTATAGCTTAAAATTGTAAATCAATGGAATATAAACTAGAATTATTTAATTAGCACATTATCTTCCTCAAACATGGGAGGTGCATGTGTGTTTGCAAAAGGAAATGTGAGACTAAATAATGTTGATTGATTCTCAGGAAGTGCTATTATATGTGCAATAATGTGTTCAGAGAACCATGTTCAACTAAGGTCTCTAGTTTGAGTTTTTTTCTTTATTTAGTTGTTTTTATTTTGTAAGAAACAAGATTACATGCATGACATGCATTTTGTTCTTGTAGTAGTCACCCAAAAACTACACATACCAATAACAGGTATTAATACATTTATTTATTCAATTAAAATTTAAGGGAAAATATACTGGGACAAGAGTTACTCACTTTACAAAACATATTTAATTATTTGGTGTGTATGGGGAGAAACTGTCTATGCACTTCTTTTTTTGGATGCATTAAATTTGCAATTCCTTCAGTCTCATTCCAAACTTTAAATGATATCATAATGATAGTTGTGATTATTAACCCTGATGACTTTCAATGATTGTTTCTGACACTGTAGTGTCAGCAATGGCCAGTTATTTAGAAGAGATTTGACTATTCTACTATTGATTCACATTACCAGTAGCGACTCAACGTGAAAATAGGAAGCAATTATCTTGTTTGTTTTCATGTCTCTGTCTTTCAAACATATCACTGTTTATTGCACTTCTTGTACTCAACACACTCATGCAATTAAATGTCTCTTTCCTTCTACTTGTGCACTTTTTTATGTGTGTCATGAGCTTCTATTCTCTTTGCCTGAACTACAGTATTACTATTTTTTCTGAGTCACCCATAATTCGTCCTTCATCTTTGTCACTGCCTCACGCTTTCACACAGAATGTATTCATATTTACTGCACCTTCAGCAATATCAATTTTCTAAGATTCACTACATTATTGGCTATTTTCAACAACTTATTGCTTAAATTAATATAAAGTGGTAAATTGCTGAAGGTTAACACTGTCACAGACCAGTTTGACTATGTGTCAGCGCGACTGGTGTGTTTGTTTTCACAGCATTTCCATCAGTCCACCTTTAGCTCTGTTTGGAACTATGATCTTTGCTCGCAGAAGATTTTCTGCACACATTTGTAGGACTAAGATAGTTTTTTTTTAATCCTAAAACAGAATTTAAATTTTGCTATTCTAATGATCAACACAGTAAAAACGTAACTGTAAAAACGTAACTGTAGGCCTATTTATAGAAGTATTCTATTCTTTTACAATTACATCTAAAGACGGGACAGATTCTGCTCAAGGTTTGAATATATTTAATATCCGCTAGTACCCATTAGTTACTCACTAACCCCACCTCCGTACACACACACACACACACCTCAAGATGTCACACAGCTACACCCACAGCTAGCACAACCGTGGCTGAATGACTAATATATTAGTATGGTAACATTTTGTGTTGAAGTTTCTCTGCTTACGTGAGAATTACCAACCATATTGAACTCAAAATCCTCAACAATCAAAAAAAAAATTAGCGGAGAAAGAAAAGTCAAACACATATTATCTCTGACTGGCTAACATTATGCTACTCATGTTTAGACTATGTGGTTAAAAAGAAACATAACGTTACATTATGGTAAGACCTACTCAGTGGTGAACTGTCCTCCTGTTCCTGTTGAGTTGGGTTTATATTTGTTTTAGCTTTAAAGCAATTTTCAAGCCTCCTGTTGTTTACACAGTCACACATCCTAGGAAGTTGTTCTGATTTAAACCAAAAGAAGCAACTAATACAAACCGGACTGCAACAGTTTCCTGTGGCGATATGGTTGATAAATGTTTGTATCATACCTTAGATGCTAAAGGTAGAAAAGAAAGTTGTCACATATCCCTATCATAATTCCCATGTTGATAATTCAAACAGTGGTGTACAAGATTTTAGAAAGTATTGTTTGCAGTTCAGGTCAGAAACAACTTAAAAGACAACAGCAATGGTAGACATATTTAAGGCCCTATACACACATGGTAAACCCACACATGTGATTTCTCTTTTGGCTGGTTAGTGGTTTTGAGTTGTGTGGGCATGTAAAGACTGTATTCAATTTCATCTGTCAGTGTGGGACGATTGAAACCTATATCATTCATATTGGTACAGGGAGTTCTGTGACACATAATTTTTCTTCTCTGTCTTCAACCTGAGCAGAGACCTTTAATTTGGCACAGATGTAGTTCCAAGCAAAGCTTCATAATCTTTTAAATGTCTATGATGTAGTAACGTTATCAGTGTACTTATTTTAAGTTTCTCCATCCAACAGCAGGTAAGTTCTTAAAACTTTTGTTTTGACCTTCACAAGATCTTCACTCAAGATATCACCCCAGCATTTTTATGGGATTTGTAGGAAAACTCAGTCCTCTAGTTGGTCTACAAATCTGAAGTTATTTTAGACAAAGAATCATGAAAGGGTTTGAGAATCCAAGCTTTTCAAAAGATTGTGTCAGGTGTGTGCAGCCAAAATCAAAAGTCCCATTTCATATTGCATAGCACAATTGAAAAGTTGCATGCACACTGACAAAACAGGTAGAAGAGTTTCTTAAGATGCCAAATAATAAATTTGTCCCATGTGTTTGCACCCCTTTGTTCACTTAAAACTTGTCATTTAATTTCAAATAAAACACTAACAAACTATAGAACATTATTAGTTGTCTAGGCTTCCAAGAAGCCAGAGGGTGGCAGCAAAGACTGCAACACTGCTGTTGCACCAGTCAACTAATTTGTGCTTTTCTTTCAGGGTTTTGGTAGAAGCCGCTCCCTGAGCCTGCCAAGGCAACTGAATTCTGTGCCTTCCCCCGGACTTCTGTCACCTGTGAGCACTCCTGGAATGCAGTCGTCATTTTTACCTGCACAGAGGCAAACATCCTTACAAGAAAAAGTCTACAAGCCACTTTCTCCGTGGGAGGCGGCATCCAGAAGCCCCATTGGTTCAGTGGATCAAGCCTTTGTGTTTCAGAGCCTCCCGTCATCTATTGCTGCTAATGTCAAAGCTGCAGGGCAACGCAGATCTCTGCCAGAGCCTCCAGATGAATGGAAGCGCAGGGTGTCTCTTGATCCTGCAGCTGTCAGTAAGGGTCATTATCATGCGGCCCCAGCTTTTCAGGCACCTTCCATGAGCAGGACATTTTCACCTGAGAAACCAGCCTTCTATGGGCCTCCCTTCAGACCTGCCCAGCCCGTAAGGCCTGCCAGTAGGGCCAGCACTGGATACATGGGACAAGGCTCCAGTCCAACAAGCTACTATCCCTTCTGTGGCGCAGTCCAGAGAAGTTAATACCGCTGAGATGAGGTCAGACATATATCAGAAAATTAGAAATTTACTTCTACGTATGGTGTAGAAGATCATGCAAAGTATATTGAATGTGAAAGTCCAAAAAGTAAATTTGGCCCAAAGACACGAAATATGTTCACTCAGTTGTGATGAAAAATGAGGTTGTTGTTGACATTATTATGTTTGTTTTAAAGTGTTGATGGGTCTCGCACCAGAAGAGTCACTATCTTCATGGTAGGAGCAGTCACTTGGTTTGAAGGGCACAACGATTTACTGTAGCTACTATGCTGTGTTGCTGATGAGATATCACCCTGCTAAGCATTGATGGGAGAGTTTTTTGCAAACTGATTTAGGACAGAAGTGGACAAGAAAATTGTTAAGTGTTAGCAAAGTGTTATGAGAGGTAAACTGAACGTATAGTTAATGAAAGAAATGTTTGGTAGATTGCTTTGTTGTGCAATGTGTTTGATGGAGCGGTGTTTCTCACTGAAAATGCTGGTAATGTTGACACTGTTGGTTATGAATTTTTGGTGAGAAATCTTATGTGTGTCTTTTCAGTCATGTAGATTTGAAACTCACTGTGGCTTTGTGATCACATTTCCAGGTTGATGTTATGCAAATTCTTTCACATCTGAATATTTCAAACAGCAATTACAGATGTCACTCAAATTGTTTTAATCTGTGTCTTTTCTCTCACTACTATTGCAGTGGCGATGGGAAGTATATTAAAAGAGAACATTTCTATTAATCTTTAGCACTTTCTAGTAACTGGCAATTGCATACATATTGTCTCTATGTGCTCTAAGGAAGCTACAGTGCATTTTTAGGAAAGCAGCAAACTTACACCTTAACATTGACCTAAATCAAGAGATTACAAAATGGATATAAGCTATTTTTGCAATTATTACGTATATTTTTAAGTCAAGAGCAATACATGCATGCATACATTCATAAGTATCCCACCTTTGATCGTGCACTGTGTGGTGTTGAAGAGTACACAGAACCACATATTCTGCCATTTAGTGTCAGGATTTCAAAATGATTGATAAAGCCATGTTTTCTTGCCTATAAAGCTAAATTTGTTGGGCTTTTACCCTGTGTTTGATAATTGAAATGTTATTTCTTGCACCTTTTAAACACAAACTGAAAAATTAAAAGACATAAAAAAATGTTATTTTTTTGGCTTTCATTCTTGAAACATTTTAGTGCAGAACATTGGTTTCGGTTCATTCTGTGCATTAACCTTTATACCTTATGTGTTTTTATTCAAACACAATGTATATTAATGTTATCTAAAAATAACATGCCGTTAATACTAGCTAACAAACTGGCAGATTATCTAGTATCAACTGTATATTTTCTTTAGCAGGAGATTAAATGTTTAGAATATCTGAAATATGACAACAGCTTTAACTGCCAGGGTAATGACCTTGATGCTGCTTTGGTCTTTGACTGACCACCGTCTCAGGGATGAGTCCACACTTCCCTTTAACCCCCATAGCTGATCTGTATGTCATTATCCAAAGTCAGTAATCAGTCACACATAATAACAGAAACACAACTCAGTTTGAAGAGGGAAATAACAGCTGTACCCAGTTTTAATGACCTCCCTAACTTGAAGCCTCGGAGGTTACGTCAACCCACAGAGACATGCTGACTTAGAAGACTCAAGACAAAGAAGGGGATACATCTCTGGATGGGACGCCTTGCCTTAAAGAACATCAGTGGGCATGTGTGTGCTGTAGACCCCCCTCTCTGGTAACTATCCTTGCCCCATGGTGTTTGAGAGTGGTTTTGAGTGTTTGGCAGGTTAAATTTAGCCTATTGATGTAAGCTGCATTCCATTCACAACAGACACAGAGACACACTCACAGTTTGGCTTTAGTGTCCGAGAGTGTGAAGATCAGGGAAGATCAAACTACCTACCGTAGGTTGACCCCTGAGCCTCCGTGTCTCCCCGTCAAGGATCCAGGTTGCACACAAGGGATACCATCACAGGTATGGACAAGCCTTATCAGAGTGTGTTTTGTGAATATGTGGTATATTTAAATTATATTGAATTTATGTCAATAAATTTGGCTGCATCTAACTAACATTTAAAATCACTTTCTTATGACCTTATGGAATTGCAACATTTGTCAGATCAGTTAGTCAGATATGTTTTCCATCTTTAGAATTATATTGCTTTGCTTTCTCTTTAAATTGCATGGAAATAATTTTAAAAATTTAACAAACACAATGTCAGCAGATAGGTAAAGTTGAGTTATTGAACATTTAAGATGTATATTTAGAGTCTTACCACCATTGCATCATGTTCTGCATTTGACAACAAAGCAAAACTAAAAATAAGACCACTGCAAATGCACCGCTGGACATTTATTGTGTATAGCTGAATGCACATATTTAGGACCCAATATCCACCCTTGACCTTTACACAGGCAATTTAACATTAAAGGGAGATGCCACTAACCTATTACCTCACATACTCAAAAATTGATCCAGTAACAAGGCCAGATTTAAGAACTACACGTGTGTTAACTATGCAATTACAATGGGGCTTTGGGATTATGCAATACATGTAATCTGTTAAATGTAACTCTCTCTATCTCTACAGAGATTATTTTATGAAAAACACTGACATGGCAGATTTATTTGATAGGACACCTTACATATCATCTTGAAATTCCAATAGGTGCTCACAACAATTGTGAGAAAGACTTTATAGACTGAAAAAACAATGTATGTTGTACTAGTATATTATGTAACAGAAAAGAACAGGGCAATTAGTCTGTCATTATAACAATATTCTCTCTCTCATTCTGTCCTTCTGTCTGTTTCATATTGACAATAATACAACAGATTCAGCGTTCTTTGACACTTATGTGGGCACAAATGGGCAAGCACTGATGTTCTATGGGGTCAAAGTATTAGAAATAAAACTCCTCCTTTATGACTTGGGCAGAACAACTACATCCTGTGTCCTGTATGTGTTTCCAGTACTTCTGCGTTCTGCCAACCTTGCCAAAGCCACAATGTCACAATTCTGTACAATGCCAGCTGGAGAGAGGAAGAAGCGTGCAGCAGCTATTTGCCAAGAGGTCCATGGTACCAATGGTATGATGTTAGAGTTGAGGCTCAGCGGACAAACACACTGTTGCAAGAGAATAACTATTCTGATCTGGGTTCAAAATGTCAGGGCTACAATCCAGCACTTGCCATAAATAAGCTAATGGGATGATTTAATACCTATGGTGGCTAATCCTTTGCCGTTGTCCTTTTCGAACATCTATTTCTGGAGAGGGGAGGGAAGTTGTAAGGGCCAACTGTGTAGCTGTTTGGATAACGTGAAGGTCTGTGACAGCTGGGGTACATTCTGTCTGCAGTGGTGGATGAGGAAGCATCATGCACATCCAAAACTAATTCTCAAGTACAATGATAACTCATTTTCCATGACAGGGCTTGTAATATGTAATTTTTTGACACCTTTGATGTCGTTTGTGGAACCTCCCTTAAACCTAATCACTTGACAAAATTATATCAGGGGACATTTATGTGCGTATATTTATATTCGGTATCCAGAACTTTCCAGTTCTGTAACCAGGGCTGGATTAATCCACTGCGGGGGTGGGGGACGCTGGAAAAAACAAACTGTCTGCCACTTTGCCCAAGTTAATTTGTGATTATTTGATTATATGCAATTTATTTCAGAATATGACGATGTAAACATAATATCAACTGATGCATTAAATGTATTCAAATGAGATTTTGTGACACAGATTAATTAAATTACCATGACTTTGTGACCCCCAAGGCAGGTTGGCAACTCAATAACATTTAGTATTTTGCTTGGTTATCCTTTTTAGAAAATGTGCCTCAACTGAATGATAAATGTTAACATAAGTACTGGTTTCAGAACGTTGAAATATATTTAGCTCACCATTATGTAATTTGCTGAAATTAATACTAACATGTGTCTACTAAAGCCGCATCGTATACTCTATATCTTTATTTTTCTCCACTTTGTTGCCTGACAGGTGACGTAATGGATCTCGGAAAGAAGCTCAGCACTCCTAAAGACATTATGTTGGAGGAGTTATCGTTGCTTTCCAACAGAGGGTCCCGGCTTTTCAAAATGCGCCAGAGGAGATCTGAAAAATATACATTTGAAAGTATCCAAAATGAGGCAAACGCACAGCTAAATGTAAGTCAACTTGTATGTATCAATCAATTACTTCATATGTTTGCATATAGTTGAGTTATAGTGTTTCAATGTCATCCTCTTCCACAATATTGAATTGTACTATCTAGAGTTATGGCATTAACGCTGTGTACATGAAATTTTGTTAAACGGTTTGCCTATTATTCATCAAGCTAATTTATCAGGAAATGTGCTCTTGAAAAAAAGTGGTACAACACATGGATGATAACAGAGACATGTGCCTCATGCCTTTTGCATCCTCCAGCCAAATCTTCTGAGTGGCTTCTCAGGCACTTTGCTGAGGAGCTGCTCCCTTCTTTATCAGTGCCTGTTGATGTGTTTCTGTGTGTGTGTGTGCCTGAGTGCAAGACAAGGCCAGCTATTGATGTGCCATCTTTACTTTTTGTCGCTCAGTTGATAACCAAAACAATACCAATACATGTACTGGACTTTATTCTGTTTTGCAGAATGATATTTTAACTGGGAACACACACACTGTGGAAATTAAAGTAGATGCACCAACCAATGGAAATACTGCTAATCCAGGAAGCACTGTTTCAGGTAATTATGCTGTTCAATTAGTGAATTTAAATCCTAATGAAGCATTAGGGTTTGCAACGTTACTCAGCATTAAAAGATCAATCATAATCATAAGTCACTGTAAATGTGCTAACATTAGCACTGTGAAGATTTGGTCATTGAAAAGCATGTCTACATCTACCATTTCTTCCACTGTTAAACTGTAAAAGCCGTTGTGCTTCACAGTCTAATAACAGCAGCTGATTATGTAATGCTGTCATAATAATGACAACTGGTCTCATAACAGCTGTTCTTGTTCTTATGGCAACTAATTTGAGTTGCTTGGCATCATGTATGTAACTAAGAGTAATTATACAACCTGAGCAGCTTTAAATGCTTTATTTTATTTTATTTTATCTTATTTCAATAGACAGCAGAGCCCTGTGCTCATTCTAAAGTGCTCCAGTAGGGTGTCATCCCATGTTGACATGTTATATGATGAGTGCATACTTCAACTATGTGCTATTTTAAGGCCTCAGATCACAGTGATGGACAACTCAGTCTGCCTGTGTAAGTGATAAGCGCAGTCTCTAGTCATAATCCTATCCACTCAAGAAAAATTTAGCCTCCATTAAAAAAAAGTCCTAAAAAGCATTCAGCGTTAACCTGTAAATGCAAACCAAACTGTCAGATCATGCTGCTGCAATGTTGGTTCAATTCTCCACAGTATGATCTCATGCAAATGATTTTTCTTCCGGTGTGCCTCTTTGTTTTCTTTTGCTCCTTGACAGACACGACTGCAGAGAAGTTAAATGTCACAGCTATGCACAAGTCCTACCACTCCCCGTGGGAGCAGGCGATCCTCAATGATCCCGACCTTGCTGAAACTCTCAAACTTTCAATGCCAGCGCCAGACCCACGACCAGAGCTGCCTGGGTACAAATGCTTCAACCGGTGAGACCACTATGACAACATTTTGGTAAATTAGTACAGAGTACAACAAAGAGTACCGTTCAAACTTTATGTCAATTACAGGGTTGCCACTCCATTTGGTGGCTTTGACAAATCTCCCAGAGGAATCACATTCAAGCTTCCTGAGGTGGACCTGAACCCGCCCAGTTATTCAGAGCTGCAGGAGCCAGGGATGAAGAGGCCCACCTTCAATAGGACAGCCCAGGGATGGATATCTGAGGGCACCCATCTTATCCTACCCACTGTTACCCTGGAGCCAATCAAAGTCCCAGAGTCTGATGACCTGTAGATGCTCTTACTGTATGTAATCTGGCAACACGGTGTTGACTGTAGTGTTTTGGCCCTGCCTGCGATCACAGCAAAACAGTCACTTATTAGCACAGTCACAATCCCCTACCATTATTTTCGATTTCTCCCACACAAAATGTGTCATGCATTTGTTGACTAGTGTGTTTGGTGTAAACTGTATTCAAAGAAAATGATGTAAATAGCAAAAACAATGTGCTATAAACAACCCAAGAAGAGTTTCCAGTGATACTGAAAAGCAAAACTGTAAATTTTATAAATGTTCAAATGAATTGATGAATATGTAATGTAAATAAAGAATGCAATTTATTTATTGATGGCACACAACTGAAACGAAAGCAAGTTCTACTTGGTTATTATTGGTAAGCAGTATTTCAATTATATCTACTGTAAAGAATTATGTTACAGAAAAATACACAAATAAACTGGTGACATTCATTGCTATTTATTTATTATCACATTTAAAGGTCTGATTTAAATAAAAACATCATAGAGTAAGAAGTGCTGAATATACAAATAAAAAATAATTAAACTATGAATTAATTTAAAATTCAACACTAAAAACAGCTTCAAATGAATTAAAACATTAATACACCTGTAACAAGAAAATGACAGTGAGAGCCCTGTTTTCTGACCAGGTTCTGCATCCTTCATAGAGGATTAATTGTTGACTGTTGAAACAAAGAAACATCTTGGCGTGGATAAGACAAATGCCTTTGGTGTGGTAGAACAAGGTTCAATTCCCACTGTGACACATCCACCAATGTGTCCCTGAGCAAGACACTTAACCCCTAGTTGCTCCAGAGACCTCTGACATACATAGCAAGTGTAATTCTTTTTGGATAAATGTAGGTCACAGCAACCTGGGAGGAACCTGGACTTTGACCTGTGATGACATGGAACTGGCTCTTAATCAAAAACAAAGCACATTCATGGACTCTTTGACTTTATATACAAATATATTTCATAACTGTACAAGCAATAACCCCCACCGCCCCACATGAGCCAAACAAAATGGAAATAATCATGCCTGCCTTGCAATTACACTGAAGAGAAAATGTAAATGTTTGTCCTGGATTGTTTCACAGAGGGACTAAAAACCTACAACCTTACAGTATCACAATCTGCAGTAGTAATACTGTGTGAGTGCAAAATACACTGACTGTCTGTAACCGATATTTTGTATTTTTTTGTATAGTTTATTCCCTTCTTATACACACATACAATATACATACTGTATATTGCATGTTTAATAACTAACGTGATGCACATTGTGTTTATGCTTTGGGATGTAACTGCTCTGGATGAGGGAACAATTTACAAACTCTTGCCTTTCAGACAGCTGGAGAACAGAGAGGGGAAGATAAAGGCTTTGAGTTAGGGAGGTCTGGCATGATTGAACTCAATGCCAGTGGGAACTCATGAGAAAACTTAATAAATGACAATCATTTCTCCAAAACCTCAGTAATCCAAAGAGTATGCATGCTGTTCACAGAGAATGATGTTTCAATTTCATGGCGGAGTATCTGTATAAAGGACAGGATCTGACACTGACTTCAACATGTAAATCCTGTTTTATACAGAGTGTGTACAGTAAGACGGGGCTAGTCTTTCTGTGACAAGCCTAAAAATGTGACAATAATAGAACTAACTGAACTAAAACTTTTGTATAAACTCTAACTGCCCTTATAGCCACTGATGTTGGCGGTAACGCCTGGATATTTATAGTTGCTGGGAGTCTATCAAAGTCCCTTTCTCAGAAAGACACTGGGGGGAAAAAAGAAAGAACAAAACAGATACAAAAAAATGACTAAAAATAACCTAAAGAGCGGTTGAGTTTGACAGCTCATCTGAACAGAGCTCAACTACGCAACATTCAGAAGGAGAAATGTGAAGCCTTATGTTTTTCAGGCTTTTTTAAAAATAAATAATACCAAAAATTTTTCATGTGTCTCAAGGGAGGTTTTTGTGCTATTGCTGGAGCCGAGATGGCATCAGAGAAATGCAATACTGTATTTATACACACATGTCCATCCCACAGAATGCACATGGTCCATAGGGTCCATTCCATATTAGCTAAGTGCGCTGAATATAGAATGTGTATGAAAATAATGGTATGGCCTTATTTGAATTTCCTGCAGTTAACAGTGAATCAGCAAAATGTTTTGCTCTATAAGAAGAGTTGTCTGTTTAATATTCACAAACAGATTTCATTCTTGGTTCTCAACATCAGTGAAGACTTCTCAGTTTATGAGGAGTGAATTTTGTACTATTTTACACAGGCTGCCAGCATGCTGTAGACACCGACCCATAGACCCATACACAAACTCACAGTCTTGTTTCCATCACTTCAGACATACTATATTCATGTCCTGGACCTTAACCCTAACCCTAACCATTACTCGCCGCAGGCTAACCTTAAACCAAGTCTAAAATGTCATAGCATGTGCCTAAAAGGAAGGAAAATTCCCACAATGTGACTGTGTTTAAGAGAATTTTGTCCCCACAGCATAAACATGCCCACACATATTGTGTACTGTAAATACTCTAATAGGATCCACTGGACACACTGTATTTGTTAGGTTCCTTGCGTAGTCAAATCCCTAATTCTTATCATGTATTTGTAAAATAAATCAGAAATTCTAACTCAGATTTATTGTTATGTTGCTGTTTCATGACGCTATGAACCTAAACCTCACAACAACACTTTGTTCTATTTTGGACAGATCCACTAAAAACTTATGTGGGAGAAAAAAAATACTGCAAGAGAGACACACCATTCGCTGAGTGTCATTTTTGCTGACTCTGGCTTGTGCGCCCCATCAGCCTCTTTTAGTCGTCCTGTCTCCACTTAAAACCTGCTCAGCTCTGCAGGCTTTTCCCCTTCCAGGCCCTCCATCTGCCACCATTTTTTGTGATTCCTTGTCCTGCTTATTGCAGCACAAGCGTCACAGAGATAGAAATAATAGAGTTACAATACTGTTAGTGCTATTTGATTAAACATGAATGCTTAATACTTTGTGTTGTTTTCACCAGCTTAACAAATGATAAGAAAGAGGATGAAAGCATGGCGACTTTTCTTGTCAAGTGTGGTTTGTTGTGGCTATTGTGGCATATTTACCAGATCCGTACTATTTCACTTGGACTCAGAATTTTAAACTGTGTTCTGTTCTTTGTTTGACATTTAAGTGAGAACTTATATACACACACACACACACAGAAAACAGGCAGGGTTTAGTCCCCACAGTGCTGCATGATTATGAAACCAGTGCAGTCATGTGATGTCTTCTCGCATCAGCATCATGACAAGTTGGAAGTCTGACCTTCCTCCAGCACACAGTTTGCCATGCAGGGATTGAAGATTGCAGTACAGCAGCAGTGCACTTGAGGCTACACTAGGGGCGGAGTTTGACCTCTCAAGTCTCAAAACATCACTAATCCGCGTCGGACATTCTGGCACAGGCCATCGCTGGCCCCGTTTGTGCAGAAAAGGAACACATTTTCACCGAAATAACACTGTCCCGAGCGGGTCTGTGCGGCAACAAACCGAGGCTCGGGCTGCCGTCTTTGTGCGTGTCGGAGGTATTGGGAATGCTGCACTATGGCAGATAGTGCGTTACATGCGTCTGGACATATCTGCAGACATTTCTAGGCAGTTGTTATTTGCGGGATTCTGGCGAGAAGTCTTGGGATTTGCGCGTGGACAGCTGGACCGCCCTGCGCCTTTATTGGATGCGAGCAGTCAAGTATCCGCTTCCCTTTAAGGTGAGTCGGTAGAGCACTTGTTTTGTCAGTGCCTGAATACAAGTTGCGATATATTTACATGCTACAGTTGCTGACCGGTCGCTCTTTCCATGTCCAGTTTACCGTGAGGCTGGTGCAACACCGGCAGCATGTCTTCTGTTGTGGAAGCGGCTACTCAAAGCTTATCGGGGGGGTTAAACGCAAGGAAAGCGCAGGATAGTCATTAAATTCTGCTCACTGAAGGATTTATGTCCTCTTCATGAACCTCTACTGCAAAGATGGGGGCTCATGTCAGATTGTATAGGCCTATAGGCTACAGGCATCACATGGTGTCAAAGAGGTTGGTGCAAAAACACATGCGGGCACTGACAACAAATGTAGGCTTCTGTGTTTAAATTTGTTGGTTTAGAGGTGAGCCTCTTGTTCACATTTGTATTAAACATTGTAGCTTACAGTTTAATATCATTGAGTTTTGTGAATAAGACAAGCTCCTGTTTACTTTGATTATGAGCCCCTTAATGCAGCTATCTATGATGATGAAGAAAATTATGTTTTCCAGAGTAAAACCAAACTACACGCTATCCTTGCACCATCTGAGGTTTTATTAGAAAATAGTAATGATATAAAAGAGTATGATGTCTTAGAATCTATTGTAATTTTGCCCATTTTTATTATTATTCTGTTATTCTTCCTCTGTATTTTTAATTACTTTTCCTGCTAACTGTACATCAGTGATGAGGCGATGGTAGGGTCCAGTACAAATAAAAATAAAGGTATCTGAACATGAGTTTAATTATTATTTTCAGACCAGTTGTCTTTTCTCTATAAGCAGGTGTAAAGTGTGTTAAAGTATTCAAAACAGTTAAAATGTTGTTGTGTTCTTGCATCAGCTGGTGTGCAGATCATAGAGGTGGCACACATCCCAAAGTTGAGTATTAACAGTATTTAAGATAATGAACTTAAGTGAATTTTAATTTCTACTTTAGTGTTTGTCTGCTATAATAAGGAGTTCATTTCAGAAGCTCTTAATTTAAAGCGGGCACCCTTTGAACTGGACTTGTGTTTGTATGCCTTTCTGTTTATGGTAAAGTAGGAAATGGTTACTGCACTACTTTTTAAGCATTAGTTGACTATTCTGCCTTCTTCTTGTATCAGTACATTTATGGCTTACTCATTCCTTTCCATCTGTCCTCAGATATTGTCCAGTTGCCATTCAATGTCCAGTAGCACATGGCTGAGGCTGCTCTGTGGCTGATCCTGACAATGCTTTCAACTAACCGCTCCGGAGGTGCGTGGGGATGAAATGGATGGAGCCCATGGCCAGACCAACGCACCAGCTCCCACCTCACAGCATGTCCAGCCGCAGCAAGTCTCCCCCCAACTCTGGAGAAGGTAGATGACGTGATTCATCTGGCGTCCAAACAAATCAGTCATTTGGATTAGTGATGTAATGATAACAGTGTCCAAGATGAACAGAATTTTCATCCAGCATTGCATATTATGCCGCCATAATGCCATGCAATAATAATCACATTTTCAATCATTAGTATACAACTGTAGACTTTAAATGAAAATGAACTGAAACTTACACGATTTAATACCTTTGAATATTCAGCATATTTTGAGTAATAAAATTTATTTGAAGATACATTTTTTGATACTTTTTAGATCACTGGAGATTTTAATTAAACATAGTTTACTTGGGACTATAAAACAACCAGAACCTATAATATAACATAACATACAGTAATATAATGTTTTAACTTTGAAAGACGTAAAGACACAGACAAGGACCATCTTAGTGAAACACCACAAAGAATGTGTCAAAGGCAGATTTTTTTTTTATCAGTTGCAGGCTCTAACTCCATGTCATGGGTGAAGATGTTCAAAAAACCCAGAGGAGGCCTGAAGAAATCCTACCAGCCTGGGAGCATGCTGTCTCTCGCGCTCACCAAAGGCCTGCTGAATGAACCCGGGCAAAATAGCTGCTTCCTAAACAGCGCCGTTCAGGTGAGAAACATTTCCTACCAGTTAAAATAACTGGGGCATAAAAATTATTAAGTTACTTCACTCCATTGTAACAATTACAAAACTCTCTCAGTGCTTAATCAACCAAACAGAAATCCATTCTCCTTGTGGCATTTCCACACTCTTGTCATGTGAACTTATGTTTAAAACACTACACTGTAACACTGCGTAAAGCAAATTTTGACCGCTACAGAGCAGAAGTAGACCCCAGCAAGCTGTAATGTCTACTGCAACCTATTTCGTTCTTTTGGCGAATATTTTAGGAAACATTATCCTAACATTACTTAGAGTCAGTAGAAACAGTCATGTGAGTAGAATCCGTTTTTGCCACCTGCCAACATTTGCATTTTTAAAATAATTTTGTCTGTAAACACCTGAATAAAAAATCTGTCTCTAGCTGGTCA